TGTGAGATGATTACCTGAGCCAAAGTCAAGAGTCGGCTGCTTAACTGGCTGAGCCACCCAGGCTCCCTCTTCCTCTAATTTCTACTTATCCTTCAATGCACAGAACGTATCATTTACTTCAGGAAAACTTGCCCTAACACCCTCCTCCTCCCAAGACAAAGTTAGGTCCTGAGTTCAATGCTCACTGAACATTCTGTGCATTCTCTTCCTCACTAATATTGTATTTGAAAATATATACAATATTGGATAATTAAGTATTTTCTCTATCACACTAAAAGGTACATTCCATGACAGGAGAGCCCATTGGGGTTGCCAGATCTATTACATGTGACCAAATACCAAGGGCCTATATATATATATATATATATATATATATATATATATATAACTTAAATCACAGTAACAAATTGAATGTTTTATTCTGAATAAAATTCAATATAAATATTTTGAAAATCCTTTCAAGAATTGTATGGCGATGTCTATTTATTGTGTGATGAGGGTGCATTTTAATCTTTTGTTTTTAGTTAGCTGATTATTTACTTATTTATTTTGAGAGAGAGAGCACAAGGAAGGGCAGAAAGAGAGGGAGAGAGAGAATCCCAAGCAGGCTCTGCACCGTCAGCACAGTGCCTGACGTGGGGTTCAATCCCATGAACCGTGAGATCATGACCTGAACCAAAATCAAGAGTTGGATGCTTAACCGACTGAGCCACCCAGGCGCCCAGCATTTCAATATTCTCGATACAGTGTGGGGTGGTTGTGGTGGTAGTGATGGAGCCCCAAAGCAGAGCATCTCCTAGAGGGTCAAGGTCCTAGAAGCTGCATCTATTTATAGGTCACAGTTAGAACCAGAGAGTCTTACACAGTGCCTTCCATGCGGTAATTGGTCAATAAATATTTATTGAATGAAAGAATGAGTGAATCAACGAATCAGTGAATGCTCTTTACTGTCAAAACCCACTGCTCCAGTAATTTCTGCGTTGCATAGTTTGTTTTCCAGCTGAAAACAAATCAGCTGAAAACCTTTTCACCCTCATTTCTGTCAAGACACAGTGACCTACCGGAACAGTCCCACAGCCTAGCTGGCTTCCTAAATCATCGTGTAAATGATGGGTCAGTGATACTGAGAGCATAGTTGGGGCCATAGGGCCTTTATAAAAGCTATGTCAGCTCTTACAGTGAGTCCATACTGAGGATCCAGACCTCTCCTCCACTGTGTTAACATCCTGACATATGGCCATAGCTTTTGTTTGTGTGCCAGTGTAGGTCATGCCAATTTTCCAGAAGATTCTCCTGGAGTCTAGTCATCCTGAGCTGTCAGACATCTGGAGTTAGAAGGATATCCCTAGGTTTTACAACACTGGAAAGAAATCATATCTGGAAGGCTTTCCAGGGGTATTATCAGAAAGAAAGTCATCTCATTATTGGCTAATCTCAAATATATAGGAAGTCCAGAGGACAGTGCCCATTACTTTTGTCACTGAGGAATCTTTCCGGCTTGGCAGTCAGCCTCTGGTAGGTACTTGGGAGGTTTTCCCTCCCTGGTCTCCCTTCTCTGAATTCTTCTACCCCTGGTTCCTTTCTGGAGCCTTCCTGGCAAGCACGTTGGGATCAGGTGGGTAGAAGCTGTGTTTCCTATCTCTCTTCTGGAAGAGATCCAATATATCCCTCCATAGGTGAAGTCCTTCACAGGAATAGATTTACGTCCTTGTGTCCCTTCGAATAACCCTGAGTAGAATAACCCTGAGATGAACTTCCCACTTGCCACCATTGATAGCCTCTCATAACAAGAATACAAATGTTACTAAGCTTAAACGAACAGGCACAAAGTTTTCTCAGGGTGAGGAGGGCCAGGGCTGAGTAGGGTGAGGGGCCCGGAAAACCACCATGCCACACCAAACGGCCCTGAAGAATCTAGCTTGGTGGCCCGTCTCCATTTCCCACACTTCTGTTCTCTCAGCTCTCCCCTCTTACCTAGTATTTTACTCCACCCCTCTCAGCTGACCCCTCCCCAGAATCCAAGGGCTTTCCCAAGACCAAGCATGCATGGGCAAATTCGCATCATTCCGCATACGAGTTCCCTAACAATTGCAATGACATTTTGCTAGATTACTTCTGGGTGATGACAGACAAGGCCTCAGTAATAATACCTTGCAAGTGTAACATGTCTGTAATTAGACTGTCCTGTAATTAGGGAGCTGACAACTTAGCCACTGCTTATCACTAGCCAGTGACACAGCAGGACACAGGAAGAACCATAGAGAAGGACATCTGCCTGACGATTGATGGTAAGGATCCCGAGGAAAGCCACAAGGAATAACATAATAATAACTGTAACAGAAAGCCATAGAGCGGAGAAGATCACATGTCTTGATTAGAGACAAAGCTTGTGCATCAGGAAGAATGAGGTCACGGATCTCCCTCTGTCCTCCTGTGATGAAGGATAATGTGTGAGAGGTAGATTTTAGTGTCTCACAGCCAGGCACACAGCTAAGGATGGGTCCAAAATTTTGGTGGTGACTTTGAGCAGTGTGAGAGAGAGGTTCCACGTTTGTGCACGTGGACCAATATCTCTGCCATTTCCCTGAACCTGCTTCTATTGAATTCTTTGAAGTCTCATTTGGTTTCTCCCTTCCACACCATCTCACACCCAGTAGGCAAGTCCAGCCACCATCCCAACTCCATCATCTCTTCCACTGTGGATGCCCATCACACACTCTGTTGTCACATCACCCTTCCTGGCTCCTGCTGTCTGGGCTCTCTTTTCTCCATCATGTACCCAGAGCTGTGTTAGAAGAGCTCAGTCTTCTGTTGTGACCGCCCCTACAGTCTCTCTTCTAGCATTGCTGATGGAGCCCCATTGCCTACTGAAATACACTCTTTGGCATGAAATTGAAGACCTGGTTTCAGAATTTTTGTGTCCATAATACCTTTTGTTTCCCTCGCTCTCCCTCTCGTTCTCTCCTCTCTCTCTCTCTCCCCCCCTCTCTCTCTGTCTTGTTCAGGATATTCTGCATCTTCCTTTTTTCATCTTTGTGACATTCTCTTTCTGTGGAGTAGTCTTTCCTCTGACATTTTCCTGAATTCCCATCCATCCTATAAGGCCCAGCTCAAAAGGCATCGCTTCTTTAGGAGGGTCACCTTGTTTCACCACCTGATAAGTTTCGCCCTCTCAACATTGTCTACGCCTCTCTCCCCTCTTCCCTCCCTGCTCCCAGGGGTTCCTCAGGCCCCATGGCCATTGTGCTGACTGAAGTGGCTCCAGGCCGGCTGAAAGCTCCAGACACTCAAAATTGGGATACATCTGTTTGCAGGCCGCTGCTGGTTAGTTTGCTGGCCACACGATCTCTAGCAAGTGGCTCAACCACGTAGAACCCCAGTATTATCGTTTACAGATTGGAGGTAATAATCCCTGCCTCACAGGATTGTTGTAAAACCTGAGATGATATGTACAGAAACTTTATTTATTTATTTGTTTGTTTATTTATTTATTTTCCCTTCCCTCTCTCCAGGAACCTTTTTTAGATTGGAAAGCATTATACCAATGTGGGATACCATAATGCTCTCTCTTCTAGTTATTTAGATAATTGCCTTATTGTATCTAAACACTCTAGGTATTTGCGAAATTTGGCCTCCTTCTCCCACAACCAGTGTTAACTCCTGAATCAGTTAGGCATGCATTCGGCTCAAGGCTTGCAGACCTCATTGGGAGACTGGAAGCACTGTGGGGCTAGAGGGCTTACGGGTTCAGAGGTGGGCCCTCCTGTGGCCCTAAGATGGATTTCATTTCCATATGAAAAGAGAACTTGCCCGTGGAGTAGGCAACCGTGTCTACCACAGCCCTTGAAGACGGGAATCAGGTCTTAGTTCCTCTGACTTCCTCCCTACAGTGCCTGGTATGTGGTAGGTGGCATGTGGGAGGTGTTCAATAAATATTAATTGAATGAATTAATAAGGAATCAATACATGCATGAGAATTCAAAAACCTGAAATAACTGGTCTCAGCTCAGCCATTTTTGCGCATACATCTTCCTTAAAGTTCACGCTCATAATAGCCTTCAGGATTAGAGCAATTTACCCTTCAAGCGGAAGTGCTGTTATTCAAAGTGATTTGATTCGTTTTTGTCTAGTCGGAGGCTAAGATGTAGGAACATTATGTTAGAAAGACAGCATAAAAGTGAGTCTGGATCTGAGAGGTTTAAAATAAGTCTGAAATATTAAAATATGTCTCAGACAACACGAACCTTTATGGTTTTCTTTTTATACGCTGTTGCATAGGAATTCAAAATATTGTTACAGGGTATATCACAGTAAGAATTTATATGCGGAAAATTGTACACCAGCAGAATCTTTTAAATGACCTCCTCCCTCCTTTTCTTTCCATGCCTCATCAGACACGAGGAGATTCGTGGGAAAGCAGTAATTATAATCCTTGCCACATTGACAGACTTGTGGCATATGCCTGAGCAGAACGGTGAGAGAGGGTGGGGATAAAGATATAAAGGAAATTAGGTGACCTAATATGGCCTAGTGGAAGGTACATTTAGCAAATGTGGTTCTTATCCTTGAATAAAGTTCAGCTAAAAGGAGGGTAGACTAATAATTTCCTATTTTATTGATACATAAATGACTGGTAAAAATCTGATCTTGAATTTGTTCCTGTAGAACCTAGCCTTTTTAAAAATTTTATTTTTAAAAATTTGTATCTTAAAAAAATTGAGATGTAATTGACCTGTAACATTGTATTAGTTTTAAAGGTACAATGTCATGAGTTGATACATGTATATATTGTGAAATGATCACTATAATAAATTTAGTTAACTTAGTCATTGGATGCAATAAGTTTAGTTAGGAGTTAGATAACTTAAAAAGTCTATCATCATATAGACTTGCAACTTTTTGTGTGATGAGAACTTTTAGGATCTACCCTTTTCATAACTTTCAAATATACATTACAGTATTAACTGTAGTGATCGTGTTACACATTATATTCTCAGAACTTACTTATCTCATAACTGGAAGTGTGTACCTTCTAATGCCTTTCACCCATTTCACCCACCGCTGATGCCAGCCACAACTGCTAATCTCTTCTCTCTATCTATGACTTAGTTCAGTTTGTTTGTTTGTTTGTTTGTTTTAGTCCCACATATAGGTGAGATCATAGAGTACTTGTCTTGCTCTGTTTGAATTACTTCACGTACCATAATGCCTTCAAGATCCATCCAGGTTGTAGTAAATGGCAGGATTTCCTTCTTTTTATGACTGAAGAATATTGCATTCCATATATATGTGCACCACATTTTATTTATCCATTCATCCGTCAGTGGACCCTTAGGTTGTTTCCATGTCTTGGCTATTATAAATAATGCTGCGATGAACACAGGGCTGCACTATCTTTTCTTGATTACACAGTTACCAAAATACGTGGGATCTCAAAATATCTTCTAAATTTATTCTAACCCGCAAAGTTGACAGATGAGGAAATTAACACCAAGAAAAGTTAAATAGTATCTCAAGGGTCACTTGTATTTACACACTTGGGAATGGAACCAAGAAATCTTAGTGCCTCGTCTGTTGTCTTTTCTAGCCTCATGTGACACCTTTACTTTTTGAGTCTGATGTGAGAGAATAAAACAAAAGAGGGAAAAAATGAATTATACTGATAGAACTTGAGAGCTTTTTGTTCCATAAGTCTTGATTTAAAAGCTATTGTACTGAGGTGCCTGTGGGGCTCAGTCGGTTAGGCATCACATTCTTGATTTCAGCTCAGGTCATGATCTCACCGTCATGGGATCAAGCCCCTAGCTCAGTGCTGGGTGTGGAGTGTGCTTAAGATTCTCTCTCCTTCTGCCCTTCCCCCGCTTGTGCTCTCTCTTTCTGTCTCTAAAAAAAAAGAAAGGAAAAAATGCTATCCTACTGGTATTAACTTATCCTCAGGAACCAATGCTTCTTATAATAATCCTCATACTTTGTAGAAATTATTAGCATCACTGAGCTTTTCTGGTCTCACCTTTTGTCATAACTAAAATAGAATAATAATAACTTTCTTGTGTAACTTGTAGGGCTATTTTAAAGACTAATGCAACAAAAGCATTTAGAAAAACAAAAACTTACAAATGTACAGCATGATTCTTGTCCTTATCACTAATAAGCATAATCATCTTTTTTATTACGTAATCTCTACATCCAACGTTGGGCTTGAACTCATAACGCTGAGGTCAAGAGTCACACGCTCTATGGACTGAGCCAGCCAGGCACCCCAAGTATAATAATGTTAAGGGGGGGCCTGGTGGCTCAGTTGGTTAAGCATCTGACTCTTGATTTCAGCTGAGGTCATGATCCCAGGGTCATGGGATTGAGCCCCGTGTCGGGCTCTGCTGAGTGTGGAGCCTGCTTGAGATTCTCTTGCTCTCCCTCCTGCCCCTCTCCCTTGCTCGCACTCGCTCACTCTAAATAACAATAACAATAATAATAATAATAATAATGATAATAATGTTTAAAACCAGCTTGTCTTGGCTTCCAACCTCTAGCCTCATCCCTCACCCTTGTAGAATACGAAGATTTACATGCAAGGTACAAAGTTAAAAACGAAAAGAAAGAAAGAAAATTAAAGTAATCCTTCTTTTGCTACTTTTGTTCATTTTTTTACTTCATTTCTCAAGAATCCCATTGTCTTTGTGTTTCTTTATTTTATTTATTTTTTATTATTCTTGAAGTACAGTTGACATATGTTAGTTTCAGGTATGCAACATAGTGATTCGACAATTCTATACATTACTCAGTGCTGACTACAATAAGTGTAGTCACCATCTGTCACCATACAGTGTTATTACAATATCATTCACCGTTTTCCCTCTGCTGTATTTTCATCTCCATGACTTATTTATGCGATAACGGAAGTTTGTATCTCTTCATCTCCTTCACTCATTTCATTCATGTCCCCCCACCCCCTTCCCAAGCATCCTGCTGTCTTTAGATGCCTAGTTCATCTCTGAGAATGTGGCTTCATTATTCATACCCATTGTGAAAACGTCTGACAGCTCACTGACATATCACAACTTCCCTTTAGGTTTAGACACGTACACATAACATCCTGTGGACATCACCCATTCAAATTCAGCAACATGTCACAAAGCGAACTTCCTGTCTTTCCCTTAAAGCTGTTTCTGAAGCACCCCTGGTCTCGGGAGCATCTCCAGTGGCACAGGCATCCAAGTTAGACACCTGGAGAGTTCCTCGACCCTCTCCCACTTGCTACTCCCATATACAATCACATATGTAGTCCTGGGATTGTTTTCCCCAACAGACTTCTCCATCCTTTGTGCCATAGACTCCTTGTATATTCTCTTAACTGACCTTCTTATGTCCATTCTTCTCACCATCTTAAGAAGGATCCAACTACAGTAACTCTCTGACCAGATCATCTGCTTCATGCCAGTCAGTGACTCGTATCACTGGCACCATGGTTCTCACATGGGTTCATATGGAGCCCATGGGAATGCCTTGGTTGGAAAGCAGTAAGAAGGCAAAGGGGATGCTATTTGTGCTGGGGTCTACATTACCACTTCAAACAAGAAAATCCCACTCTGTATTTGCTTTCTGCATTGAGGTTCTTGAAAATAATTGCTTCGGGACAAAATACTTTGCTATTAAAGTTGGAAGCCCACTGACCATAAGGTACAGTCCATGTACCTGACCCCTGCCTGCTTCTTAAGCTTTATCTCTCTCCTCTCCCTTTATCTCACTGTAGAATCAAGCAACATCAAACTGACCACGCCTCCTGTATTTACAACACTGTTTCATACCTCTGTTTTATGATGTTGTGCCCTCCACCGTGAGAGCCCCCTGTACCCACATCGCTACCTTTAGGGTAACTAAATTTCATGTACCTTTCAAGGTACACTATTACCACCTTTGGGAAGCGCTCCTTCTTCACCCCCAGTTGCCGCTTCTCTCCCTAACAATCCACTATCCATTATGCACTAGTTGAGATATGAGAAGTATTAGATGGGATAGTACAAAGCACACTGGGTTCTTCTGATCTTCACTCTACTACTCACTATATGTAGGACTCTAAATAATTCACTTTATCTCTATGGAACATAGTTCATTCCTTCATTCCTTCATTCATTCATCCAACAATGTATGTTGATTCCCTTTGCCACCTTTATGGAGCTTACATTCTGATAGGGGAAATAGGAAATGAAAAACAAATTAAAATTATCCTAGAGTATGGAAGCACTATGGAAAACAATGAAGAGGAATAAGGAGTTTGGAAGGTATCTCTATTTGAAATGGCATGTTACAAAAGAAAGGCCTCTCTGATACCTGGGAGAAGAACTTTCCTGGCAGAGAGAACACGTGCAAATGCCTCATGGCCAACTAGTTTTTGTGATTTTGTTTTGTTTCGTTTTTTAAATGTTTATTTTGAGAGCAAGAGAGGGAGAGAGAGATACATGCGAGCAGAGGGAGGGGCAGAGAGAGAGGAGAGAGAGAGAATCCCAAGCAGGCTCCGTGCTGTCAGCACAACGCCTGATGAGGGCTCGATATCACAGACCAGAGATCATGACCTGAGCCGAAATCAAGAGTTCAACACTTAACCGACTGAGCCACCCAGGCGTCCCAAGAGGGACAGTTTATGAAATCAGAAAGGAGCAAGGAACCGTGTCACCCATGCCCTCGTGAGTGAGAAGGGGAAGCTATTGGAGGTTATAAGCAGAGAAATGGCATGATCTGCCTACTGTTTTGAGAGAAGCCTGCTAGTTATGGGGTGTAGGGGCTCTTGGGGGAGCAAGGAAACCACTTGGCAGGCCACTGCAATTATCCAGGAGAGTGATGGTGGCTTGGACTTAAGTGGTTGTGGTTGAATTGGTGAGATGTGTATATAGTGTGGATCCTTTTGAAGGTAGAATTGAAAGACGTGATGATGGGTTTGACGTGAAGTTTAAGAGGGGGAAAAAGGCAAAGGTGGTGCCACGATTTTGGAAGTAAGCAACTAGAAAAGTAGAGTTGACATTAGTGAAGATGGAAATGACTGTAGGGAGGAGTCTCCCCTATGGGAATTAGTTTTCAGATATGTGAAGTTCGAGGTGCCAAGTAGACATCGGATGGAGATGTTAAGTAGGTGGTCTGGACTTGAGGGATAGGGGCCAGAGATGAAAATGTGGGGCTTGTCAGCATATAAGACATCATAAAACTCAATGTGATTACCTAGGAAGTAGGTATAGACATTCAGAGGAAAGAAGGTCTAGGGCCAAATCCTGGGACATTGCAATGTTTAGAGTTTGGCAAGATGGAGCACAGGGACAGAAGAGTAACAAAAGATACTGAGAAGGAGCAAGCAGCAAGGAAGGAAGAAAACCATGAAAGTGTGATGTCTGCCAAGCCAAGTGAAGAACATGTTTCACGAAAGAGGGAATGGTCAGCTGGGTCAAGTACTAGCACTAAACCATGAGTCGTTGGACCGAGCTCCACGATGGCCCTGGTTATCTCAAGAAGAATCGTTTCAGTGAACTGGTGATGGTAAGAGTGATGAGAAAATGCAGGTGGAGTAGATTCAGGATGTAGTGAGAGCACACAGAGACCGTTTTTTCGAGAACTTTCCCGTAAGGACAAGCAGAAGAATGAGACTTGGCTGAAAGCGACTGGGGGTAGGTATTGAGAGACTTGTTTAAAGGATGGGATAGGGGCGCTGCGGTGGCTCAGTCAGCTGAGCATCCCAATTCTTGGTTTCGGCTCAAGTCATGATTTGGCAGCTTTGTGGGTTCGAGCCCTGCATTGGGCTAAGATTTTTTTTTTTTTAAAAGGAATGGTTATTCAGAGTATAAATCCGATTTTGCCACTTCATGCTGAAAACCCTCTAATGGATCCCCATCCCACAATAAAAGGCCAATGACTTCCCGTGGCCTGTTGTGCCGCACGTGATTATGCCCCTGCCTACCCAGACAAATTCACCCACTCTCCGTCCATTTCACACCGCATCCTTCAGGCACACTGGCTCACTTCTGATTCTTCAAACATACAACAGTTCCTGACTCAGGGACTCTGTTACTGTTTTCCCTCACTGACCGTCCTGTGTGGAATGCGTTTCCACATGAATGTCAAGTGGGAGTCTCCATCCTGTTCATCATATCTCATTTTATTTATTTTTATTTTTTTAAACTGTGTTTATTTTGAGAAAGAGAGAGTATGAATGAAGAGGGGCAGAGAATAGAGGGAGAGCAGAGAATCTAAAGCAGGTGCTGTGCTGTCAGTGCAGAACCTGATATGGGGCTTAAACCCACAAACTGTGAGATCATGACCTAAGCCAAAATCAAGAGACACTTAACTGACTGAGCCACCCAGGTGCCCCATCATACCTCATTTTAAATGTCACCCACATACAGGGGAACCTGGCTCCTCGGTCGGTGGAGCATGTGACTCTTCATCTTGGGGATATGAGTTTGAGTCCCACACTGGGTGTAGAGATTACTTAAAAATTGGGTGTAACTGGCGCACCTGGGTGGCTCATTCGGTTAAGCATCTGACTCTTGATTTCTACTCAGGTCATGATCTCATGGTTTGTGGATTTGAGCCCTTTCTTGGGCTGCATGCTGACAGTGCAGAGCCTGCTTGGGATTCTCTTTCTCT